TTCTGGTCGGCCATCTCACTAATCGCCAAAGGGTTGAAACAGGAACGCACACAACAGAGCACCACAGACAAACCACTTAACTCAGACTGACGCCAGCTCACTAACAGTCGCGGGAGACCCCCAGCTAACACCACCTAGCAGCACAACTCGTAACTACAAAGCATGCGCACGCAACAGGTCGGTTCCGGTTATTTTTGGGTCCCCCCTTGTATGTTATCTCCTTCTGGTGCTTTATTTAGTTTTTGTTCCTTTAATACTTCTCCTGCTTCTTCCTTTGTTGGAGGCTCTATTATCTCTTCCTCTTCCCCTTCTCCATCATCTGTATTTTCTTCTTCATTGTCCTCGTTATCTTCCATATTCTGATTTTGATTTAATAATTGTTCAAAATATTCTTTCCATGTATTCATAATCTCTGTTTTATTATTTATTAGAAGCCCTTTTTTGTCTCGGATAAATTCTGTTTTTGGTTTGAAACCTTCTTTCATATATTTGATTTGACCAAAGGCATTTTTTGTTTTGTTATTTTTGAAGTCTTCTTCCAGTTGCAGTAATTGCTCGTTTAGAAAGGCCTGTTTCTTTTTCCTGCTAATCTTGTCTGTTTTCCTTCTTGCTTCTTTATATGCCTCATTCCTTGCTCTTGTTGGTCTTTCCATATATTCCATATATTTCTTATTCTTGAGGTTTATACTCTCCCTACATTCCTCGTCGAACCATTCTATATTATCCTGTTTCTCTTGATATCACAGAGTCTTCTCAGCTTCTGTAATTATTGCAGTTTTAAAATCTACCCATATCCCTTCTAACGTTACTTCTTTATTTGCTCTATTGTCATTAATTTCTTTAATTTTATTTTGAAATGCTTCTCTCTTATCACTCTCTGTAATCTTGTCAATATTAAATTTCTTACATTTCTCATACTGCTTAGATCTTTGACAACTTATTTTACATCTATATTTGACCTGTACTAAATAATGATCACTATCACAGTTGGCCCCTCTTAATGTTCTTATGTCCAGGATATCCGTCGCAAATCGCTTCTCTGTGAGGACATGATCTATTTGATTGAAGGTTACCCCATCCGGTGCTGCCCATGTCCTTTTATGTATATTTTTGTGCGGGAAGTATGTAGAGCTGATGATCAAGTTCTTACTTTCTGCAAAATCTATTAATTTTATTCCATTATGGTTGGTTGTATCATGTAAACTTTCTGACCCAATTACTCCTCTGTGTTCCTTCTCTTTACCTATTTTGGCATTAAGATCCCCTAAAATAACCTTTATGTCATTACTTGATATTGAATCATATGTCTCTTCCATTTGTTGATAGAAATAGTCTTTGACCTCCTCTTTTTCTTCTGTAGGTGCGTGCACGTTCATCAACGTCATATTGAAAAATTTCATTCTAATTCTCAAAGTGCAAATTCTTTCGCTTATTGGTTTAAAGTCTATTATTGGGCTTTTAAATTCTTGTTCTATTACAAAGGCTACACCAAATTCCTTACTGCCTTCTGCTTTACCACTGTAACATATAGTATGTTTCTTTAAGTCCATGATTCCTTTACCCAGCCATCTAATTTCATATATGGCTGTGATTTTCATATTGTACTTATCTATCTGTTCTAGTACCGATTTCATGGCACCCAGTTTATTGAGAGTTTTCACATTCCATGTACCTAGAGAGTAGTCCATATTCTTTGCCAAAAGTCGTCTTCCATTCTGTTGAGGTTTCCAAGGCTTGATTCCAGGTTTTGAGACATTTATATTTTTTTACGGTGAGAGGTCGTCAGCCTCTCTCCCAACACCCAACCTGGAGGGCCAGGGTATCTCTTTTAGTCTGGGTCATCACCTTCGACCTGTCCGGCATGGGCGGCCCTACCAGTAGCTATGCTACTGCTGGCATAGCTCTCAGGGTCATTTGACCACGCATGCCCCTCCACTACGTCAAAATAGAGACACCATCGGGGGGACACCATTCACACTCACTACACGCTAATCTTCTCATTCTATCTGCAGTAGTTTTTCACGTATTTATAACAAGGGAGCTATGCAAATCTCACTGAATTACACACTCCAAATCTCACTGCACTGTAGGACACACAAAGTCTTGAAGTCACACAATAAGGCTTCACTGGCTGACTCCCAGTCACACTTTAGATCCTCTTCCTCCTGTGGCTGTCTCGCACCGAACACTGAGAACTGACTCACTTTTTAGTCAAAGTCACATTGTGAATGACGGTCAGTTGGTTGGTCAGTCAGTCATTCTTGGTGTCAAGCCTAATCTGGGGCTTATTACCAGATATTTATTACTGTTTGACAGTTTTGGTCTTCTTTTTGTGTCAAAAGGAAGGGTCTGTCTTTTGTCAAGAGTCATAGTCTGTAGT